AACAATAAAAATGCCAGGGGTTCTTAGAAGTAAAACTTTACTGCTTGTGTTATTAGTTTGAGAGGTCAGTAATTCTCCTGACCAATTCTGAGCATATATACCAAAAAGCACCTGCCATTCACCCTTACACGAGATTTAGTTCTAAAAAAAAACGCTAAAAGGGTCAGATACTACTTCTCATTCAGTGCTTGAAAAATGCTGCTAATTAAAACGTGTAAGCACTAAGTATCAAATGCAAAACTAGGAAAAATGATTTGAAACCATACGTTTTTTATAAGATAAGAGTAGCGATAAGGTTACCAACTATCCAGGAACTGATATGAAATGAAAAGCTTTTAGTACTGGCAATTCACATCTGAAAACTCGTTCTGGCTTCTATCTAAATAGACTCATCAACCTCGAAGCTGTGACAGACCGGGCTTTCCATCTGAATGGCCTTTCAGAGCAATAGCAAATATAAAATACACAACTTCTAACTGAATAAATGCGGAGTAGGACAAATTTTGCATTAAATTACCAAACTAAGAAAGTTCCATAAAAATTTGTAAATTTCTGAAACCCAAAACTTGATGTCTTGGAAAGTCTTCAGTATCAAGAGCTGATGTTTCTTGGAAAACTGGATCGAAAAACTACGTTAATAACTTAGCCCGTGGTCGCAAACAAAAAAGCCTAATAAAACATTCTTAAAAAATACTTCCTACATAACATCTCGAAAATGCTCGAACAGAACTGCACGTACTATCGTATTAAATACATATGGGATACATCATACACAGCTCAGTTTCGTTTCTGTCTAAACGAACAAAAAAAAACGGTTCACGGTTCCCAAATGAAACAACGAAAAAACGAACGATAGCGTCCATGGCGAATGTGCAAAAAAAAAATACTATTCTTAACTTCACCTACTACGTCCACTCCCTTACCCCATACCCTACTGGTGACCAGTCTACTTCGCAATGAAATTCTCTTCCGACCAAAAATCAGTCTTCAAAACTTGGTGCTTGCTCTTTATCCGAACATTTTTTCGGAAACAGCAAGTTTTATAATAGTGGCGGTCAGACACTTGAGGCTTCTGGCAGGGTGCCATCGTAATAAAACGTATTATACTTTTGGCAGCCATTCTACTGCTGCAACCGTGCCAAAGTACCTTGAATCTGGCATAGGTCCATGAGCGGTAATTTTGACTTCTCCTCTCTCCTTACCACTCGATTCTTCTGTTGAGCATTCAAGGGTGAAAGAAAAGAGGCTGAAGGAATGTTAGAGGTTTCCGATATAGGCGATCGTTTTTAGAAGCTTGCTCCACTAGGCTTGGAAGGGTGATCTAACGAAGCTTTTGAGGCGAATGGAGCCCTGTGAAGGCTTTAGGTAAATATTGGGTAAATGTTGGGGAGTTCCAGATCTAAGATTAGTTTGAAATGCAAGAGCGCTCGAGCAAAAAAAATGGCGAGACTTCGGAGACTGCTGTTATTTTCAGCAAGAATTTAGGAACTCGTGCACATTGGCGGACCCACGCATGTATTTGGAACTTTTACGCAATGTCGCAATTTGGCACGGTCGTGGAGACACGTTGACCGTGTCAGGCCTCGACCAGGGACTACAAACTCTCCTTTTGGTACTGCGGACTTGCAATTCGCAGTTGAAGATTTATACGTAGTAGTAAGACGTCAAGGACGGGTTTGACTTTTATAGCAATGGTAAGGCAGAGGGTTGGTGAGGGGTATAGCACAGTGGTAAAAGACAATTGGGAAGGTGACGTCACTCCACGGTTTCAAATAATGTTTGATTATCCAGGTCTGAGGTAAGTCG